TCCAGTAACATCTAGCCCCAGCAACCGCAAGGGTTTGGATATCACTCGGGGGCTGGTAAAGGTATAAATACCTCCTTTTTTTCAAAACAGTCGCTGCATCGGACCTCTTTCTCGTGTCAAGGTTAGTGGCAAGGTTTGTGGGAACAAATAACCGAACATGCCTGGTAAGACTGCAAAAAACCCACACCCCGATGGCTAGGGTAACTTTGCTCACCAGCATAATCAAAATTTCCCTCTCATACACCTTGGGCCCTACGATCTTAACTAACGGAAGGGTCAGATTGCATAAAGCACCTTTTTCGAATGCAAAAAGGGAAGAAAACAAGTTCAATAAAATGAAACGAAAATGCGAATTTGTTTAATGAAATGAAGTTGTGAATCTGTTTTCAAAAGAACCGACACTTGTCCACAGATTACAGATAAATATCAATCAGACTCATTCAACTAACTACCCTCTCTCAGGGATAATATCTTCAATTTTGCTCGCCAATGTTTTCGCAAAAGGAGTCACCATCGCCTCTATGTCATCCAGCTCGGAGGGTTCATAGCCAGGTGTGAAACCAAGGCTCATCACCCTGAAATCGATGTTGTCCCCGTAATGCGAGCGGGCGACAGCAAAGGTTTGGGTGATCCCTGTGCGAAGGGCTTCCTTCTCCAGCTGGTGCACCCGCACCGTGATATTTGAGGCACGGGCCACGAGCGAGCTGGTCCCCTCCGCCTACACCACCTGCAGGTCATCGTAGACTACGCCAAGGGCAACCTTCAGGAGATGAGCTCATCGCTCTCTGCCTGAAGAAGACTCCTCGCCTCGGCGAGATCCGTGGCTAGTCCAGAAGTGGCACCCTCGGCCTCCAGCTTCTGGGCTTTTGTGGTCTCCAGCTTGGCCTGGAGGGAGCTGATCCTCTGTTGCGCCTCGTCACGCTCTCGGACGGCCTGATCGCGCTCCCCACAAGTCGCGCCGCGCTCCGAGCGGAGCCTCTCCATAGTACGGCGTAGCTCATCTCGCTCTTGGCACAGCTGGGTGACCGTCTCAACATCTAGTTTCACCCTCTGCTCCTGGGCCGCGGACCTCTCCTCGGCTACCAGCCTCAGATCCCGCTCCCTCTCGACCTCGGCCATGAGGTCGATGATCCGCTGGCGGGTCTCGACGTCTCGCTCCTTCGCCACTCTGGCAGCCTCCTCCTGATCCCATCGTGCCCTCTCCGATAGCTCATCAAAAGACTTCTCGGCAAGATCCGCATCCCGGCGGGCCTCGACCTCCCGTCGTCGAAGATTGTCTGCCTCCGTGGCAAGGGGAGTCATCTCAGCCACCCTCTGGCAGAGTGGGGCGGTCACGTCTCTATACAGCCGCACCTCATCGATGAGGTGGTCCCAATCCTCCTTGTGTACACGAAGGAACCGGGATTTCTCCCGGTTGCGAGCAATAAGCGACTAAAAAAAGACGGTGGTCAGAAAACAAAAATGGATGAACAAAGAAGAGATCGGGAGGCGAAACCAAGTGAATACCTGGCCGATGGGAACAATGATGTCTTGAAGGACACCGCTAGCCTAGTTTAGAGCTTCCAGCATGGTCGTGAACCCCTCGCGGAGCTTCTCCCGCTCCATGCCCTCGGCGGCATCATCGAGGGTGAAGAGTTCTGACGACGGGTCCCACGGACTCACCCACTAGAGCGGGGACTCATCCCGTGCGGGCGGGTAGCGGCTCTCCGATGTCAGGGCCAGGGACAACTCCCTGCCGGTCTCCTCGGCAACCGCTGTGGCGTCCGAGGGTCCCTCGGCCATGACCCCCTCCGTCTCGCCCACGGCGGACATCGTCTCTGTGGTCGTTGGTGGCACGGCACGCGCCGCTACCTCGGCCGCTGCCACCACAGCTCCTGGCTGTGACCCATCTGTTGTAGCCACCATCACCTCTGCCTCCGTCAGCGGGACCTCATCCAATTGCGCCGCGCCACCGTGGTTGACGACACGATGGGTGCGGCCGACAGCTCCGCCCGCTCCAACGTCGGCGTCGGCGTCACTTCCGTCGCCAGTTGAGCGGCGACCTCCGAGGGTGCCCCCTCAACCTTTCCGACCACTTGACCCACCGAGGGCACGGGCACCACCGTGGGCGACGCTAGACCAGCCGACGAGGCTGTGACGCCGGCTCCGCTCTTGCCCAAAACTGGGAGCGACGTCAGGCGGTGGCCCCTGCCTTGCCTGAAGAGCGAGGGATATCTTGGTGTACCCAGGGGCTCAGGGGCTACTGTCAGAGACCTAATACTGGGATACCCGATGAGGTGGAGCTAATAACCATCAAACTTGATGCTTTCAATAAGAGAAAAACGCAACTACACTTCTTGCCCGAACAACGGAAGATTGGTTCCGCCTTGCCCGACGTCCGAGGGTGGGCTCCTTCTCGCCCGACGGCTAAGGGTTGGCTCCGCCTCGCCCAACCCCCAAGGGCTAGACTCCTCCTCGACCAACGTCTACACCCCGCTCCTTCATAATGACAAGCACAGGGCAAGACATGATACTCTAGTCAACGATAATATCGAGGACCATACCCTGCACGTCTGTAGGGAAGTACTATCAGGATAGGACTAGACGGGCGCTTTTAAGCCCTTCCAGGCATGGCAGAGCCCGAACAATGTTGTAGGCGCCGGCTTTTGTCTTACAGTGTTGTGGGCGACGCCATCAGCCCTCGAACGTAGATCTAACATAAACATACGACAACTACTACAATCCAAGAGGGAACTCACATCATCAACAGTAATGGACGCATAGTCACTTTCCTGTCTACTCCCCGTAGAGTCACGGCTCGGCACCCTGGCATGCCGCACCGTCCACCGGAGGGGGATGGGACGTGACCACTCATTGAAACGAAGCCAGAGCATGACCCTATCAGGGTCAGCGAACGTACTATCCCTGACATGGTCTACCATGTCAGCCCGACAGGATCAAGGGAAAAGGACGATCCGACACCTTCAAAGGACCTTCTCTACCTTTGGGTTTTTTCCTCTTTCTCCCATCTGTAACCCCTGCTCCCCCTTGGTCTATAAAAGGGAGAGCAGGACACCCACTAAAGGGACGGATCGATTTCACACACAACACATCACATAACACATAGCCGAGCTGCAACCGGGCTCTTGGCATCCTTTCGACCATTCTATCAGAGACTTGGGACATGTCCCTCTCTCGACCGTTTGTACTCCCTACTATGAACCTTTTTCAGTGCTAGTAACACGAACAGCAGCAGACTGGACGTAGGGACATTCTACCCGAACCAGTATAAACCTTGTGTCCTTTAGCACACTATCTGGGCCTAATGCGCAATAAATATAAATTTACTAGTTGGTGTTTACTCGAAACACCGACAATAGGTGTATAAGCAATGCACCATATGCAACATCTCAATCTACTTTTTGCAACATCCATATAAAGCACTTGCAATATACCTCTGAAACAAATACTTGAAACATGTGTTTTTCACCCTTCTTCTTTTGTACGACGCAGAGCAGAGCCAGGAACGACCGGTTCCGACCAGCCAGCGTCCGAGGATGGCGGCGTGGCATGGTAGCGGCCAGCTGTGCCTACACCTGGCCTGGGCCCCTCCAGCGACAACACCTCTCCTGGCAGTATGGCCACATGCAGCGGCCGGTGGCTACGCGGTTGCTGCTGGGTTGGCCCAGCCAGCCAGCAGCGTCGGCGAGCGGCCGGACCCCGGCGGCAGCTGGCGGCACGGTGGAGCACGGAGTGGGGAAGGTGGGCGACACAGTGGAGGTGAAGCGTAGTAGAAAGATTTTTTTGAAAGGGGCGCGGACGGGAGCACGACGCGGTAGCAGGGAGCTGCGTCCGTCCGTCCGGATACCCTCGCGAGAGCATTACGGTAGCTAATATTATTAGAGTAGGAATCTTAACTGATCAAAGTGTAAGATCCTATTTGGTGCCATTTTGGCTTTGGCCTCGCCGGCAGCTCTCTCAGTGTGGCTGGGAGAGCCGCACCAAACACGAACACGAGGGAAAACATTTCTAGGTGTCGAGTAGAGGAGCCGGAACTATTTTAGATGTACGGAGGTGGAGGTACATTTTAGTGCTCCGACCTTCGGCTTTGGTGTGAAGGTGCACGGTCGCGTGGGCCTATTCGGCTGGTATTAAAGCCGGCTGATAAGCCGACTAAAATTAATTTGTTGTAAGAGAAAATACAATATATATAACTGATAAGCCGGCTGATAAATTCAAACAAACGGGGAAAAAAAAAAACCTCCCAGCGTCAGCGAGAAGTCCCCAGCGAGAATGGAAAGTGAACCACGCGCTCGGACCAGCCAGACCAAACTGGCCAAACCGTACCATACGTGCTGTGTGGATCTGTTCATCATGACATAAAACCCCCCTACACCCACTGACCTTCTAGTCTTCTACACCGTTGTTATGTCGTGGACCTAGGGACAAAACCGGAATTCTGCAACTCCGAGGGGACTCAGTCGACTTCGCGAGAGGGTTTTTTCCCCTCCGTCTTCTCTCTCATCTCTTGCCCCCCCGCGATTCTATTCTACACCGCTATAATCAGTCGTGCGGCATCGTCGGCGACCTTGCCGCCGGCGACGCGGTTACACAACTAACCCGGGCTTTGAGCTACAGCCTTCTCTTGTGGCTTGTGGGGAGGCATCCCCGTCCTCTTCTTCGTCGTCGCCGCCCTCTGCTGCGACTGGACTGGCGTGGAGTGGAGATCCATCCACCCGCACTTGCCACGATCTCTTCCTTACCGTGCCGGTAACGCCCCCCCGAGGTTGCTTGGACGGATTGCTCTGGGGACTGGCTTTCTCGCAGCCTAATCTAAATCTTCCTCTCTCACCATTCAGTTGGTTGCGGATTTGCTTGCTTTGGTGCGTGCGCCGCCCGGCAACCCAATCCTGGTTGGGTTCGATTTGGTTCGCCTCGTCTTCAGCGCTCAAGATCAGTTCAACCGAGGTGCTGGCGCGGTTTGGTTGTCCGGAGGCTTTTAGAGTTCAAGTGGAACCCCCATGCCCCAAGTGAAGTCCGGCTACGATGGCGCCGGCGGGGACTACATTAAGTGGATGTGCGGCGCCGCCGGCGGCCGCCCGGGCGGCGCCATGGCCAACCTCCAGCGCGGCGTCGGCTCCCTCGTTCGTGACATCAGCGACCCCTGCCTCAACCCCTCCCCAGTTAAGGTTGCTATTGGCCTTTATAGTAAATCACTTCTGCTGTTTAATACTGCTATGGATTGCTTGATAGGTATTGATACTCCATGCCGGTGCCAATGCGAATGTATCTGTTGCTCCCTAGTCAGTAACATTGGCTGACACCCCAACTGGTGCCACTACACCCCTTGTGTGATGATCATTCTCGACAAGGAATGGACTGATGACATTACCTTAGTGGCTAGTGGCACTAATCACATTTGGCATAGTGATAGCTCAATGTTAGTACTATTTGGTAATCACTGTGCATGGTATAGATGGCGCCTAGAGTAGTAGTATTTACAGTCTTCCTTTTGTGCTTGAGTTAATGCGTGTATTGCCTATATTTAGTATTTTTCCATGACACTATTGAGACAGCGTGTACTATAGCATTTGTGCTGCTTGTAGAGCCACCGATCACTTATAAAGTTTATTGCGGCATAAGATCCATGGCAGGGTAAAATCTTTCCTAAATTCTCATTGCTATTTAGGATGCTATAAATGTTCTCCCATTCATCTGTAACCCCAAATAGACTGTTGTGGCGGTGTGGCCACAATGAAGCACTCCCTTCGTCCCTTTATTAAATGTCATAATTTAATATGAATTGCAATTTTTCAAGGAGGGCACATCCTGAGCACAACTACTAATCTGGAATCAGAAAGCTGAGGATGACAACACTATTCACCATCCAATTTATAACCTAGTGAACCATAATGAAAGAATGGTCACATCAATTTGGCTACAAGAGTACATGAAACTATTAGCAAGTAGCAACACATGTCACTTCATATTAACTTCTCTCCTGCACTATTGACAACCTTTTCTTCTATCTGCAACCGTACAGGGAAACAGAATGCTCAAACCAGAAAGATGGCACGCATGTTTTGACAGTGATGGGAAGGCTATATGTTTTCGTAAAGCCCTTAAATTCATTGTCTTAGGAGTGAGTTAACTATATACTTGTTATTTCAGGAACTTACCTTTTCATGTTCTTTTTGTTGTTTTCTGCCTTCAAGCTTTAGACTCAGCACATACTAGTATCGGTTCTGTTATAGCTAGGGTCATTTTTTTTGTTTTCTCTGGCTCATTGGGTCAACTCAACTAATTTGATTGAACTAATCTGGATTTAAAGGCAAGGAAATGGGAATATGGGATATAATTGAACTAATAAATTGACTCAAATCTACCCATCGGTGTTGCCACTTGCATCAGCGGATTTTTGTTATGAGCAAAAGGATGAATTATGAAAAATGCATGAAAATGGCCATGTAATAAGTTCTATCTCCATTAATGATGTGCAGGGTGTGGATCCTTCTGTTCGAGCGGAGGTTTGGGAATTTCTTATTGGCTGCTATGCCTTAAGTAGCACGTCGGAATATAGGGGAAAACTAAGAGCTGCTCGAAGGTTTGTAGTTTTTCTTTTCTTTTTTCGTAATACAATGTTTGCATTTTATTTTCTAAAAAGAATCTTGTGGTAGGCATCAGTTTGGTTACTTTTATATTGGTAAATAAATTGCTTTAGCCAAAATTCCCTAGCCTTTTCATTTTTATGTTCACCTATATATGAAACATAAGCTTTAGTGCCAAATTAGTGTTCACCTTACATTTACAGCTAGCGCAGAACATAGGAAACTGTTGTAAAAATGATGTGTCACCATGCTTGCGTGGTCTCTGGATTGTCTTGACCCTTTGAACTGGTTTCCAAGATAGTCCCTTTTTGCACATATTTCTCCTTCCATTTTCCTTAATACTACCTTCTGTGCACACTCTTTGGGGGATAAAGTGGTTTTGTCAATCCACCCTATTTGTTTTCTTGAAACTATATGACTTCTCTGACCCATTTGATGTAACTCCCTTAACTCTATTTTATTCATATTCTTTGCTATTTTCCTAATGTTTTCGGAACACTTCCCTTTCTCTGGGCTCCATTTTTTATTAGCATTATTAATTTTAAACCTTGGAGACTAGTGTTTTCCTTTGTGGTTCTACACGTGCATTATTGGAAATCTTGAAGGCTCTAACTTTATGTCTTTTTCCCCTTCCTATCTAGGGAGAAATATCGTTATTTAATTAAGCAATGCCAAAGCATGCATACAAGCATTGGTACAGGTGAGCTTGCATACGCTGTTGGATCAAAGCTGATGGATGTCAGGACCTTGCCCAAAGAAACTGAATGTGGAGAAGTCAGCACAAGTCAGCAAGCTGCACATCAAGCGCCTTGCAGTTTAGCAGAAAATTCAAATTTGATTTATGGTTCTGGTGGCACAACTCAGCCTCAGAAAAGGAAAATTTGTAGTAAATCAGCTGAAACAGTTGGTTTCAATGAACATAATGATAGCTCTAGATGTTCTGGAGATTATGATGACATTGGTGAACCAAGGTATGACAGTGAGGCCTTCATCGATTTCCCTTCCCTAACTGGTACAAACTTGTTCGCAAATGGTGATGGGGATAGCAATGGAGTTGAAGAAAATCATTGCAGTTTCTTGGTTCCTGAAGATAGGGTAAGGCCCCGTGATGAACGCATGCATAGCTTCCAGATCAATAATAACATAGATCTCATAATAGAGTCAAATACATTCTCCAATGATATATTTCGACCTAGCAGCAGTGACTCAGCCATCTTTCAGTCGGATGCTTACAAGCAGGATAGATGGTTAGGCGATACTGGCTATAGTAAAGAAATTATAGATTCCTTGAGGATATCTGATGCACCAGAAGCAGATTTAGTTGATGGAACCAAATCAAATGGTTCGATAGCTGACAAAGATAGAGTCTCTGAATGGCTTTGGACACTGCATCGAATTGGTATGTTTATATTCTTAATTCACACAATTGCAGTGGTCTCTTCTGACTGTATTCTAATTAGGGATAAAAAAAAACTTCTGATGCAGTGGTTGATGTGGTGAGAACAGATAGCCACCTTGATTTCTATGGAGAATCAAGGAATATGGCTAGAATGTCTGATATACTTGCTGTTTATGCATGGGTTGATCCTTCCACTGGATACTGTCAAGGTTTGCATGTTTCGAAGAGCCTTATTTTGTACTATCATTTTATTATTCTTGATGTATCTAAAATTCTAAATACATAAATGAATTATAGGTATGAGTGATCTGCTGTCACCTTTTGTTGTCATATACGAGGATGATGCGGATGCCTTTTGGTGCTTTGAGATGCTACTGAGAAGGATGGTAACTTGCATCTGACATGAATTACAGTATAATGTCCATTTATTTGGTCTTTACATTAGTAATCATGATGGATAATGTAAATCTCTGCTGCTCAGCGTGAAAATTTCCAGATGGAGGGACCAACAGGAGTTATGAAGCAATTGCAAGCATTGTGGAAGATCATGGAACTGACAGATGTTGAATTATTTGAACATTTGTCAGCAATTGGTGCTGAAAGCCTTCATTTTGCTTTTCGGATGCTGCTAGTGCTTTTTCGTCGAGAGCTGTCTTTTGAGGAATCACTTTTGATGTGGGAGGTCTGGATCTTCAACATATCTGTCTTATTTTGGACATTTTGTGCTCAACTAGTTGTTGCATGAAGTTGAAATGAATATTCTTTGAAACAGACATAGGTGAAATATGGTGAATCTTTAATTGTAGTTTTGTACTTAAAATCTTCAAGAGGCCTAGTTCACAAAGAAGATAGTTAGCTTTATAGCAATGTAGCTACAGTAATTTACTTGAACTACATAACGTGAAGATATTGTATGTGATATTTGGTACCACACATAGCCACAATGAAATGTCCTTTTAAAATGGTTACTTTATTTCAATGCTTATATTATTGAATCAGAATCTTGTTATGTTAACAACTGGTGTTCTTGTCTTCAGATGATGTGGGCTGCTGATTTTGATGAAGAAGCAGTCAGGCGTTTAGAAGAGAACTGTCTAGAACCACTGCTAGTGGATCTGAGCAATGGCTTATCATGTGAAGTCAAAGAAGTGCATCGGACCAACAGTTCCACAAGAAGAAAACCCAAGACCAGGAAATCCCATCGTAGAAATGGTGAAATCTGTGGAGCTTGCCACCCTGGAATGAAATCCAGTACGAGAAATAATCTCTGTGGCTTGTCAGGTGCTACAATATGGGCAAGGCCTCAGCAGATGCCACATCCAAGTGCAAATGTGCCAGCAAAGAGTGGAGATTATGAACTGCCTATATTCTGTGTGGCGGCAATCTTAATAATCAATCGCAACAAGATAATAAGAGGGACTCGCTCAATAGATGATGCGATCAAGGCAAGTTCCAACTGCTAATTTATTCCATTTTATTTAAATTATTGCCTCTATGTAATGGTTAGTTATAGTTATTTATTTTCGTGGGTTTTCTTTAGATGTTCAATGATAATGTGCTCAAAATAAATGTCAAAAGATGCGTACGCTTGGCCATCAAGCTGAGGAAGAAGTACTTGCACAAGGTAATTTTTTTATTATATATACACATTTAGTAGCTTTTCATTCGTTTAGTTCTTTCTTCTAAACATCTGCGCTGTCCGTTTTAAGGTTGGTTTCTGAGTGTTCTACCTTTATCTTTGAAGCGCAGTCATTGAAAGGAGGCTCTAGTGATGATAAAGAAAGTTGAAGAGCCTGCATTTCCCTTGTACAAAAAAAAAAAAACCCCTAGATATTTCTCCATCATGCATTGCTATCTAGGTGTGGTGAAGCAGTATTGACCTGAAGTCGGCATTATTCAGGATTGCAAGGTATGCTGTGCATCCTCTCACTTTGTGCGTCAATTTGCTGGCAGACTGGCTGGCCAGGCAATGGTTCTGCTATACATCTTATCTTATAGGTGGGAGTATATGGCAGATGGTTGACGTATCTGTTGTTGCCTTGTTTCAGGAAATCTGTACATATTATACTTGAAAACAACAGATGAAGCTGTGGAAGTAAAGAAAAGAGATCAGTCCACCCGAATGTCTGTATTTCTGGTGTTGTCATTGTTTTTATTGTTCCCATTTGGCAGGGTCCCATGTCCTCTATGATTGTATTTATCGATCTCGAGGTTTGAGTGGGGTGTAGCCTGTTCATGGCATGCCAACCACACCTAATAAGAATGAAAAGAAAGAGGTAGAATTGTACACAGTATGAACGGAGCAATTCTTTGGAGCAAGTGCGCCATTGGTGACCTTGACTTGGCCGCCCCTGTTGTAACGCATCATTGCTTTGTAGCAGACACGAGCGTTGAAACGATGATGCCTTGCAAACTTTTGAACTCTAATGCGAAAAATGAGCCATTTTCATGTGGCATGCTATCCTTTCGATGTTTTAAAAACAACTGCCTGCCCTTTGTGTTAGTGTCAGCTCAGTTGCGAACTACGATTTTGACTGAGGGAGATGTGCACAAAAGTGGATCTAAATGCGAAACTGATGCCGGAAAATTAGTCGCGAAGTGACCGTCTCGAGCTCAGCCATCTACAGAATTTGTTATGCGGTCTTTGGGCCCAAGGCCCAAAGCCTTTCTATTACACCAAGGCCCAAAACCTGATGTCGGCTCGCTCGCGCTCTTTCCCACTTCTGTTCTGCAGACACCGCCGCCGCCGCCACAAAACCTCCTTCGGCGAACTCACAGCCGTCGCCATCGACGGGTTGCCTCACTTGAGGGAGGCGGCGGCCGGCACAGGAGACTCCGCCGAGCAGCCCGACGACCGCTCGCCCTCCTCGCCAAGGTGAGCCCCAACCCCAACAGTAACTCACCTCGAGGCTCGAGCGGAGCGCGGCGGCGCGGGCGAGCATGGCCGTCGCGGGCGAGCGCGTCCGGGAAGGGAGCGCGGCTGCGGGACGAACGCGGCAGTGCGGGTGAGCATTGCCGTCGCGGGCCAGTGCGGTGGCGAGGATGAGCGCACGCGGGCCCTGCTGGTTTCCTTTCCTCCCAAGGCCAAAATCATCGCTTCTTCGTGCCTAGATTCAATTTCGTTTGCTCGGTTTTCTCTATTTTTCCTCACCTTTCTCATTAATTAGCGCCCTGTTCGCTTCAACCAACAAATCAGTGACTTATCAGTCGCAGAAATTATAGGGCGAACAGGACTGCAAAGTTGACGAGTCATTTAATTAAGGTAGAAACCACGATTAATTCCCAACTTACTTAGGTCTCCGACTCTCCCCTGCGGCCGCGGCACGTGCAGCAGCCGCCCACGGCCCACCTGCCTTCGCACCTGCGACGAGATCCGGTGCCGCCGGTGAGCCCCAGCACCGGCGACGCACGCCACCCCTACTCGCCATACACGTCCCGGCGGCGCGGGGAGTGGTTTGCACACCCGCACGAGAGCGAAAGTGCGAAACAGCCCGGGAAGAGCCCAAGAAAAGTCAATTACCCCTCTTCGGTTTAGCCCAGCTGCGGCCCAAACGAAAGAGGTCTCCTTCAGCCCAGCCCGACCCGGCCGTTCCACCCTAACAGAGGCAGGCATCACAGCCCGCTCCCTTCTGGACTCCCGACTCCGGAGCGAGTAGCGACGACGGCGCTCCTACCCCTCGAACCCGCCCGGCCGACCTCGCCTCCTCGGCTAGCCACCTATCCCCCGTGCCCGCCAGCAGGCGCCCAGCCCCCAAGAGGTCGCAGTGCCCCCTGCAGGCTGCGGCCTAGCCCTTCTGCCCTTGCCCGGTTTCCCCTGCTGCTGCACAGTGAGCCAGACAGTGAGTATTTTTTTAATGATTCGTGATTATTATCATTGCATCAACACATCCTGTTTTAATTGATGACTGCCAATTGTTATTTTCTATAATTTGCATTGTAATATTTCATACCGTAAGTTATATGATCTCTTGGCTTCTTTATTTGGTCCACAAATGTTGTTCTACATGTTGCTAACATTTTCAATCGATGTCACTAATTGTTCTCTTCATTAATCGTCCTCGAATAAATCAATTGCTAGAGTTGTCTTAAGTCTTTTTTTTTTAATGACCCGAGTTTATAGAGAAGAGAGCTAAGATTTATGAAACCAAATTAAAAAAAAGGCGTACCCAGTTCAGAGAGCTCCCGCTCTATGCGGGGTCTTGGGAAGGGTGTCAGTGGCAAGCCTTACCCTCGCATGTGCAATGCGAGGAGACTGCGACTCGAACCCGGGACCTTCCAGTCACAGGCGGTAAGACTCTACCGCTTGCACCAGGCCCGCCCTTCTTATGAAACCAAATTAGTATCATTAATATATTTTTTGTAATGTGCTCATTTGGTGCCATAAACATTTGTGCTCTTTAGTATAAATTCGGTGAAACATAAGAAAAAGGTTTTAACTTAAGACGACTCTAGGAATTGATTTATTCAGAGACGAAAGTAGTATATTTTAGTTTGACTGTAGTAAGACTAGATTTCTAGCCTTTAATTATTTAATTGAACGTCCCTTCCCTCATTTCTGGGTCCACCGCTGCCTGCCCACAGTAAATCGACGGTGAGTCGGCTGCAAGTCTGCGTCGAGTTTCTTCCCTATTCCTTCTGTCGTAGTCAAATCGTTTGGTCACTTGGTCTGATTGTGGAGGGGGAGCCAGCAGCACTACAGCAGGTGGCCTGACCTTGGCTGTCCGAGTGTTTAGCTTATTGGAAATCTGGAAAAGAAGAGCAAAACAGCACAGTTTCAAGAATGGACGACAATTTTAATGTTCTTGCTACGTTGCTAGTGCTACTGCTTTTAAAAGTTTAGTATGCCTCAGTATTTTTTTAAAAAGACTAAAATGTATTGCTGTCATCGCTTTTTTTATAATGTATGCACATATCTTCGTCTTTCTGATAACAGTACTTATATCTGTATCTGTGCTACATAGGTGAATACTGGTTTTGTTTCAACTCTGAAGTCTCAAGAGATTTTACTGTTTTGTTTTGTTTTTGCAACAGGCAAGCTTTGTTTCTTTCCATTCAGTTCGTTGTAGTGTGGAGATCAAACTAGCCAAGGGCAGCCCAAATTTGGGATTTTTCAAGTGATCCCCTGTATAGAGATAGTTCGAAGATGATGAACCAGCACAGAGAGGAGGATGCCTTGAGAGGTCAAGCAGTCAAAAACCAGAAGGTGCTGACCCCACCTTTGCATCTTGGTATTATCATGTGCTACATATATCTAATCCTATCAAAATTCTTACCTTTGTTTGATTTATGCTCCCTCAAGGCGATATGGGACAAGACCCTGGAAATGAGATTCTTGCTGCAGAAGGGATTTTCCACTTCCAACAAGTTGCCCCAGGTTGTAGCAAGCATATCCCTAGGTTCTTCTTAATTGTTCCCCTTTTGATGCAGGATTGTGGCTAAGTTGAATTCTAAACTCCAGTTTGTTCTCTATTGTGCTGTTGCAGGAACCCATCAGAACAAGGTTTTGCAATCATGACAAGCAGATAGAGCAAGCCTATGATGATCTGTTGAATTCATCGAAGAATACTTTGAGCAGCATGATGGAGCTGCAGGAGGTTCAGTTAGTTGCACATATTGTTTTCCTTTCACTCCTATGACTTTTCCTCAATATGATCGAAATGTTTCTTTTGCAAATAATGATTGAAATGTTTCTCATTGTACTCAACCTCTAAAACTACCTATAGGCTTTGCTCGAGAGTAATCAGGCTACAAAGGGTGCCAATGGTATTGCTACTCTCCATACTGTTCTTGTTCTACTGTAAAAACTAGGCATGCCATCTATATGTTCATAACACAACTCTTTACTTGATGCCAGAAATTCCTTCTGCCTCAGATGGAGACAATGATGAGTGGTCAGAAGTACAGAGATTGCAGACAAGGTAAATTTTGCTTTAGAAATAACTAACCAACCATCAGTGCTTGAAAAAAAAAACTCGACCAGGGGAGGAACATCCCCCGATTTTGTTCTTAAGAAGGTTGTGGCAGCCTTCTAACCTGGACTGGTGACTGGGCCCAGGGGGGTTTCATCGACCCTTGGGCTTCAATGGTCTAATCAGTATAACTTAGGAGAAGTTGGCTAGCGCTTGAAAAACACTGAAGTACACTAAGAATTTTTTTATTTGTTTATTTACAGTTGCCTACACCCCTATGGTTTCAAGGAACTACTTGTCTACTTGTGATAATCACTTGAATATGAATACTTGAAATGCTTATCACATCTCGGCAATTGCATTTCTTTTATGCGTAATTGAAGTCTGCTCTAGCTTCCTAATAGAGTTTATTTATATTTTTTATACAGAAACCACTCTGAGATAGCCACAATGTAGTAAAAGTAGCAGCTAAGAGCATCTCCAAGAGTACCCAATATTTTTATTGTAAAAGCATGAAGTTTTGCAACTCCTAAAAAAGTATTAGGAGGAATAAAGAAGGCCATCTTCAAGAGTTTCCAATATTTTTATCCCAAAAAGTTTTTTCTGTGCCACTTTTTTTTTCCACGACCCTGTCCCAGATGTATGATGTTTTGCATCAGGAACCTTGAATTTGTTTCTATACCCATTTAAGCCCTCTCACTAGATCTTTCTCTCTTGTGCTTTTCTCACCTAGAACCTGTCTTTCCTTATTTTCCTTTCCCGCTCCCTCCTACTTCTCAGGCTCGCACGCGAGGGAGGATACGCGGAAGCGCAATCGTGCGTATCTTTGCGCGCTGGGGGGCTCAGTTTTGCAAGTGCCAAAAGATTGGGAGGTGGGTTTGGGAACTGTTGGAGAGATGTTTTTTTTTCAATTTTGCTAAAAATCCTATATTGGGAGAGTGTTTTGGAAACTCTTGGAGATGCTCTAAGTTACTAAAAACACCCATGCAAAAAAGAAAAAAATGAAACTTGAGTATTCATTTTGTTAAATACGGAAATACCTCTATGATTTGGCGATAGATTCTGTTACCATCCTGCCAGTAGCCCGTAGGTCGCTATATGAGTCTCAGCCATCAAATTGCAGTGCTAGTTGCCACAAATCCAGTTTCATATGAAGGTATTGGCTGCGCAACAAGCTAATTGCTGCTCTCTGCCCGATAAGTTATACAATTGGGTCAGAGGTTGCATCCAAGGTTACTTGTTGGTATGCCTTTCTTTGCCAAGCCTGGTAGCCGGAAAGGTATGTAACAAAGATCTTGCTTGAAAACTAGAATACAAAGTAACTTAAGTGTAAATGATAATAGTTGATGGAATCTTTTTTTTTAATTCTTACTTAACTCCTTATGTTTGAAGTAGATGGGAAGAAGGCTAGTTAATCACATAAGAAATGCTAATAGAGTAACGTGACATCTTTTATTAAGGTGCTTGGAATTATTAAGTGTCTTGAATTTTGCATTGTGCTAACATCCTTCTAGAAAGCTGGTTCCGCAACATTGGATTCAATGATTTGCATAAATATGATGTAGCACACGTGAAGAGAAAACTTCAATTAGATCTAAGGGTACATTACCATAACATGAAGATTCTGAGAGTTATATGGACACTCTAGAGCTTTCATCTTGCATTTGCACATATGCTGCTTGGTGTTGGTACTTGGTTTTATGTGCTCATGCAAAATGAACTCTGAGTGTGGTAAATTATTTGTGTACAGGATAGCAACATTCAGAAATACTGAGATAGATAAATGGCAGAGGAAAATACAGGTGACAACGGGTGCTGCTGCACTTAAAGGAAAGCTACATGCATTTAATCAGGTTGCCTGAATACTTATTTAGCTACTTTGTGTAATTTGTTACTGTTTAACATGTCAATATCTAAAGCTCAACTCTTCCCCTTGTATGAGAACAGAACATTAGTGACCAAGTTGCTGGTTACATGAGAGATCCAAGCCGGATGATTAACAGGATGTACTTGACCAACTCTACTGTTAGTGTATTTGGAAAGGTATTTTAGATGCATCTATCATTAAGGACCACCAGTCATATTTGTGCACCTGGCAAACTAAAGTCTTTGCCATTCATATTTCAGGATGTGGGAGGACCTGGAACAGCTGAGGAGGTTTGAGCATTTACTACATTGTTCTCTTGAAAATATTTCAAACCTTTGGTCTCCTTCAGTGTGCTGAAGTTAACAGCCTGTAGTTAATTGAAGCTAATTTCTTCCACTGAGTTGAATTTCCCTTTTTTTATCATAACCTTAGTTATTTATCTGCCACACTAACATTGATATCAGAATGCTTTTATTTATACAATTAGCGGATATAATGCAGACTACACTTCCTGGGCTTATTTCATCGCCTTTGCTGTAAATTAGGGGCACATTATGGAAGGTGATCCTGAACTTATTGATGATTCTGAGTTTTATCAACAACTTCTCAAGGAGTTTCTTGAGTCTTGTGATAGAGGGGCATCAGGTTAGTTCATTTTCAGCTATTGCACTTATTATTATTTATTTACACACATAGGCCTTCCCCAGCAATAAGCTATAAATTATCAGATATTTACCTCCTGTGTAAGTATATATCTCAGCTAGCCTTGGTTATTCAGATCACCCTAAAACCTGTTGCAATTTGAATTTACCTCATATTTCTATCTTTTGAATTTTGAAAAATGCATTAAATTTATCTTCATTTTCTTTGTATATATATCTCAACGTGCATACTGAAACCTGGTTCATCTAACAGAAGATACATGTTTCAAGAATATTGAAATTTTATTTGTATATATTAATAAACTGTTACCATTCTAAGGTTTGTAAGAAAAGTATATGTTTCTAATTTCGCATTGGGTGTCCATCAAATATCATTTACTGTATGCAGAGTCTGCATTCTATGCTCTAAAAAAGCAGCAGGTTAAAAAGAGAAAGCTTGTTGATCGTCGCGCTTCAAAGAGCAGAAAGATACGGTGCAATCTCTATCCTCTGCTGTTTGCTGACGTTTGAAAATTTCCAATAACTTTCCTTTCGGTAATTGTGCTCATTTCTGTTATGTGATTTTTTTTCAGGTATCATGTCCATGAGAAGATTACTAATTTCATGGCCCCAGAACCCATGGTTCTTCCTCCAATGGCTCCGAAGTTGTTTGAGAATTTATTTGGGAATGGCAGCTAGAAGCCACTAAAGCTTGGATTCAGATTTCACATTACTTGGTGCAGCATTTTTGTGCTTCTATAAATTGCAGTATGTATAATGTCACTAGAGTTGAGACTGAGTTGAAAGTTTTGATGGCCTCATCAGTTTTGTGCGTAGACAAGCAGATGTAAGCCTAGTTCACCAATTAAATTATACTTCGATTTGGGCCTGATGAGTGCCATGGACGATATTGTGTTACATAAATTTTGGAAGCAGCGCATCTTCTAGAAATCTTATCTAGAAGTTCAAGAACAAGCATTCTCAAATTTGATCCCGTTCACCGGCGATCAGCGAAATATACCATTGTCACTGGTTTACAGCAAAATTTATGATCGTGCAAGCTGAGGCTTTGCCAGCTGTAGAACCACGAAACTTTTGGGAACTCTAGAACTCTCTGTCTTTTTTTTTTCACATAATAATATACATATACACCAACATACATAGTGGGCTCTAGGCCCATGGGAAACTATAGACTGCCCCCCCCCCAAGATAGGTGATAGATATCTATCCTACACGCTAACTCACACTCTTTTACACCCAAACCCTTTGTTAGACAATCAGCTCATTGTTCTCTCAAAATTACATGACTCAACTCTAGTGTACCCTCGTCTATCTGCTCCTCGATAAAGAAATGATCAACCTCAACATGCTTAGTTCTATCATGTTGGACTGGATTATTGGCAATGTTGATAGCTGACTTATTATCACACCAAAGCTTCGAAGTACCTTTTCTTAGTACATTTAACTCTGATAAGAGACTCCTTATCCACAACATCTCACAAACAACAAGAGACATAGCTCTATACTCTGCTTCCACTGTTGAACGCGATACAACAGCTTGCTTCTTGCTCCTCTAAGACACCACGTTCCCCCCAACAAAGACACAATATCCTGATGTAGATCTTCTATAATCAAGGCAACTAGCCCAATCGGCATCACAATAACCATCCACGTTCAAATGACCATAAACTCCTGAAGCAAAGTCCTTTTTCCAGGTCAACTCTTCAAATAGCGTAAAATTCGATATACCACATCCAAATGTCCACTCCTAGGATCATGCATATATCTACTCACAACACTCACGGCATAAGAAATGTCAGGCCTTGTATGACATAAATATATCAATCGCCCAACAAGCCTTTGGTAGCTTTCTTTGTTCATCTTTGTTCATCGGGTTACCTGATTCAGCACATAACTTATGATTGGAATCAATCGGTGTTGATACAGGACGACATCCAAGCATGCCAGTTTCACTAAGTAAGTCCATAACATATTTTCTTTGTGATAGAACAATACCATTTGGATTTCGTGCAATCTCAATACCAAGAAAATATTTAAGTTGACCAAGGTCCTTGACCTCGAACTCCCTACTTAGATTCCTCTTGAGACATTTGATCTCTGCTTCATCATCACCAGTAATAATGATATCATCCACATATACAGCCAACACAGTGATCTTGCGCCCAAAATGTTTATAAAATATGGTATGATCTCCATTGCATTGTTTGTATCCCATTGCACATAAGGCACGTCTAAACCTATCAAACCATGCCCGTGGAGATTGCTTGAAGCCATATAAAGACTTCTTTAGCCTGCATACCTTTCCAACCATCTCGGGCTTAGAATAACTAGGTGGAACCTCCATGTACACCTCCTCTTTGAGATCACCATGCAAGAAAGCATTTTTTATGTCTAATTGATGCAAGGGCCACCCAAAATTCGTCGCACAAGAGATCAAAGTTCTCACCGTACTCATCTTTGCCACCGGGGCAAATGTCTCATCATAATCAATGTCATATGTTTGGCTATAACGCCTTGCAACAAGTCGAGCTTTGTACCTTTCAACCTTACCATCAGGAGTTTGCTTCACAGTGAACACCCATTTACAACTTACAGCTTTCTTTCCTGCAGGTAGTTTTACAAGGTCCCAAGTTTTATTCTTTTCAAGAGCTCTAAGCTCCTCCATCATGGCCTCACGCCACTTGGGATCCTGTTTTGCTTCTCTCCAATCTCTAGGAATATATGCAAATTGTAATGAAGCAAGGAATGCTCTATATGCAGGAGACAATGATTCATATGAGACATAATTACTTATGTCATGCTCAAAGCCATACCTTGCTGGAGGTTTCCCAGCGGTACTCCTTGCTTTCTTTCTTAGAGAAATAGGTAAACCAATGGAAAGGTCGACTTCTTCTCCCCTGTTTCAATAGACTGCTCAACCTCATCATCACCAATTTCAACATCACCAGCTGAAGAATGTTGTTGCTCCACCAATTGTGGTTGCTCAACTTGCTGCTCCACAGACTGCACATCAGCGGTTTTCTTTCTTCTAGTATAAACATGTACAATGCCTGGTTTTCGCCTTGCATCCATGTTATCAATATTTCTATTTCCTTGCCTTTCATTCGCATTAGAATTATTCAGATGGACTGGAATTAGTCTGCTGATAGCTTTTGTTGCCCTTGGTTGATTGTCTTCCTTCTCTTATAATATGTCCATATCATCCACTCCTTGATCATCCACACTCATGCTTGGATCACCAAGCTCAAACAAGGAGTTCAGATCAGTCTTTTCTCTATAATAAGGTTTAGATTCCCGAAATGTCACATCCGTACTAACAAAGAGCCTTCGTTCAGTAGGACACCAACAAGTATACCCTTTTTGACTTGATAAATAACCCACAAATATACACTTAATTGCTTGTGGATCCAACTTTCCCATAGACGGACTATGATCCCTGACAAAGCAAGTGCACCCAAATACCTTCGGTGGAACAGTAAACACATTCACTCCTTGTAACATCTCATAAGGAGTTTTCCATCCAAGCAATCTAGAAGGTGTACGATTAATCAAATATACGGCTATCATCATGGCCTCACTCCATAGAAACTTAGGCACATTCATAGTATACAAAAGTGATCGTGCAATCTCCATTTTGTGGAGGTGTATCAGGACATGTTGTCTGGTGCAATATTCCATGAGCTGATAGAAAATTGCCAAACTCATTGTTCACATACTCTGTTCCATTGTCTGTCCTCAACACCTTAACTCGAGCATCATATTGATTCCCAACAAGTGAGCAAAAATTCTGAAAGCATTGAAGTACTTCACTCTTGTGTTTCATGAGATATATCCAGGTCATACATGAATAACAATCAATAAAGGTCACAAAGTACTTCATTCCACTAATAGAGGTAACAGGGCATGTCCACACATCTGAGTGAATAAGCATAAATGGAGATAAGCTCCTTAGACCCCTGCTTACATATGTCAATCTCGTATGCTTTCCATATTCACATGCATCACACACAAGCTTTCTCCTGTCTACCTTCCTCATCATCTCTGGGAACACTTTTACCATAGTATTCAATGATAAATGGCCTAATCGACAATGTTGGAGCATCACTTTAGCTTCGTCATCATTCATACTTGTTGTTAGTGCAGCGTCCAAGAACCTGTCATCTTTCTTTTGGTCTAGGAACCATAGCCCACCATTCTTGATGCCAATTCCAAGTTCTTTTCCTGTCTTCTTTTCCTCAATGATGCAATTTTCCTGATCAAAAGAAACCTGACAATCCATTTGATCAACTAAAGCACTTAATGATAGTAGGTTAACTGGAAAGGATGGGACATGCAAAACCGATGACAGTGTAATTGATAGAGAGCATTTTACTGAACCAACACCTTTAATAGGTTGGCATGTTCCATCAGCTGTTTGAATAGTCTCACTATGTGTGGATGGATATGCACTATATGATTCAAACTCACTAGATGCACCCATGACATGCCTAATGCACCTGAATCAAGTATCCAATTTGCATAAGATGTACCTTTGTGAAAGCTCTAATTTGGTTTTGGTGAATTGATGAAACCCTAAGTGCTAACCTAGTTTATCAAAGTGATTATGAGATAGGTAGCACTACTCCAAGTGGTGAAGCAAATATCATGACATGATGATGGAAATTGCCATGGTGATGATCAAGTGCTTGAACTTGGAAAAGAAGAAAGAAAAAACAAAAGGCTCAAGGCAAAGGTATAAATTGTAGGAGCCATTTTGTTTCGGTGATCAAGACCCTTAGTGAGTGTGATCACATTTAGGTTCGATAGGCGTACTATTAAGAGGGGTGAAACTCGTATCGAAATGCGGTTATCAAAGTGCCACTAGATGCTCTAACTCGTTGCATATGCATTTAGGATCTTAGTGGAGTGCTAACACCCTTGAAAATGTTTTGTGAAAATATGCTAACACACATGCACAAAGGTGATACACATTGTGTTTAGCACTTGGGAGCAAGGGTAAGAAACTTCACCGGTGCCCTGTACAGAAAAGACAGGGTTTCACAGAGTGCACCGGACGCTGGTCTCAACTGGACCGGAGCGTCCGTTCAGTGGAAGCAATGAAGACGCTGGCGTCGGTCTTTGACCGGACGCTGGGTCACTTCGTGACTGGACGCTGGCTGGCTGCGTCTGGTCCCGCTGATGTGGCAGCGCACAGAGGAGACGGTGAGTGACCGGACGCTGGGTGAGTTCGGTCGGGTGTGACCGGACGCGTCCGATCGTGAGTGGAACCTTATTGGAAGTGACCGGACGCTGGGGTCCTGCGTCCGGTCGAGATCAAACTAACGCGTCCGATCGTGAGTGAAACCTTATTTGGAAACGACCGGACGCTGGGGTCCTGCGTCCGGTCACTTTGAGCAGTGCGTCCGGTCATGACTTAAATGTACTGATGACCATTGAGATCGGACGATCAGCGTTTGAAGCAGGGGTCACGTGGTGTGCATCGCACAACGCGGACGCTAGGGTCCTGCATCCGGTCGATCTGACCGGCACGTTTGGTCGCCCCGACTTTTCATAGAACAGAGAGCCAACGTCTCTATTTCGTGGGGGCTTCTATTTAAGCCCCATGGCCGGCTTAAGCTCATTCTCTTGGCCATTTGCATTGATATAGCAACCTTGTGAGCTTAGCCAAAGCCCTCCCACTCATCTCCATCATAGATTCAACATCTTTGTGAGATTGTGAGTGAATCCAAGTGCATTGCTTGAGTGTTTGCATCTAGAGGCACTTGGTGTTCATGTTTTGTTGTGGGATTCGCTTGTTACTCTTGGTGGTTGCTGCCACCTAGATGGCTTGGAGCAGCGAGGATTGTCGAGCGGAGGTTGGTGATTGTCTCCGGCTCCGATCGTGGTGATTGTGAGGGGTTCTTGACCTTTCCCCGGTGGAGAGCCAAAAGGTACTTTAGTGAATTGCTCGTGGCTTGTGTGATCCTCATCTTGTGTTGGTTGTGTGGCACCCTATTGAGGGTTTGACATGTGATGCCAATTAGCGCGTGAACCTCCAAGTAAGTGAATCGTCACAACGAAGACTAGCTTGCCGGCAAGCAAGTGAAATTCGGTAAAAAATCATTATGTCATCATTTGATTCTGAGGTGATTGGTCTTCATTGGTTTTCATTCTTGTGATTGATTGGTTCATTCCTCGACACGACGGTATAACTATCTTGCTCTCTCTCTTTACATTACCGTAAACTAGTTATCAAGCTCTCTAGTGTAGTTAGTTGTGAGAACTTGTTAGTTTGGTTAGTGTGGCTCTTTAGTTAGCTTTTGAGAGCACACCAACTTAGTGTAGTGCCATAGCTATTGTGTGGTTAGAAACAATAGAAACTAGAATTGTGGTAGGTGGCTTGTATTTTTAGTAGGCTAGCGCAACACTTGTTTCGCCTCATAATTGTCTAACCAATTTGTTTAGTGTTGTTGTAGAAATTTTTAAATAGACTATTCACCCCTCTCTAGCCATTAGGACCTTTCACTTTGTCAGGACTAGCGAGATTCATGAGATTACCGAGCATAGTCGCCTTTTATTTTCCTTTGGAAACTCGCTCCCCTTGAGCTTCCTTGCAATTGTTCCATCTTCTTCTTCCCATTTGACTCTTCTGTAGCTAACATTAGTCTACATTAGTTCAGAAGTCCTCGCCAAAAATAATTGAGCCAACTTCACAAGTTCCTTAGCGGTGAGGATTTCAGCCAACTTCTCAAACATCTGCTCAATCCTTCCGCTTTCTGCCATTGCTTAGTTGCTGCTATCACTCTACGTAGTAGTAGCAGTATCAATTTGTTCCCTCAGTAAATCAGTGGCTTAGCACAAGCTGCAACTTCTCTCTAGCCTCTTCCACCAGCTAGCAAATCCGATCCCCTTTCTTTTCTCCTTTAACCTCTCATAAATCTTGTACAGTATGGACTCAATTTGAGCATCACCACACTACGGGCCTGTTCGCTGGTTGGTGCTGGTGCTGGTTTGAACTGGCTAGTGCTAGTTTTTTTTGAGAGAAAAACACTATTGGCTGGCTGGTTTAGGCTGGCTGAAACCAACAAACGAACAGGCGGCCTCTCTTCCTCAAGCACTCAAACCTCCACTAGCTAGCAGCAGCACAACTACAGTGTGTGTCAACACAGTTGCTGAAATATCAAATCCACATAGGTGCTCCCTCACAGGACGACAACAATTTCTCCCTCACAGTGCTCTCCTCTATTTTCCCAAATCAGAAGGAAGCACCAAATCCACCCAGGATTACCCTTCGATTGCAGTCCTGCCACTGCTAAACTGCCAACTGCCACCAAATTTCTCTCCTATTAGCAAAACCAGCGCCTTTCTTCAGTCCCTGCTCCAATCCTCCTCCTTACCACTCCCAATCAGTACCCAACCATAGTGACTCCCCGTCTACTCTCGAGCAAGCAAGCCACTACCAGAAACACTACTCTTTCTCTCCCTTCAATCCACAGCTCGAGCTTCCCTTCTTCCCGATGGAGGCTCGAGCTTCCCTGCTTCCTGATGCAGAGCAAGCAAGCCTGTGTTGCGCCTTTCTGCCGTCGAGGACTGCTGCCTGCAGATCGACCGTCCGCCGTGGCCAACTTCCCCAGAAGCAAAACACTCGAAAATCAGACTTGTGGCTGCTCTTTCTTCACTGTGCAGCAGCCTACTCCACCTCGAACTGCAGGAGTTGCTCCTAATACTCACCAATGTCTTCCTGCTTGCAGCACCACCGCTCGATTTGGAAGCTCCCCTCGCCGATTCCAATCAGCTCCGCCACGGCCCTTCTTTGCCTGCTCACGCACACGCCGTTCCCACGAGCAGTGCTGCAAGAGCCCTTTCTTGCCTGCTCGCACGGTCTCACCACGCCGACGTCGCCCAGCCAGGCACCGATACCATGTAGAACAACGAGGCTATTGGAAACTCTACTCTGTCTTTCATTTTTCACATAATAATATACATATACAACGAAGCTATTGGGAACTCTAGAACTCTCTCTGTCTTTCCTTTTTCACATAATAATATACATACAAGATTTTCATTTTCGGAAATTAAAATTTATCGGGGGTCACAGATAAAAAGAATAAACAGGATATATCGGACCAAATTCAAATAAAATTTAATTTAAATTTAAATAAATTTAAATAAATTTAAACAAAATTTGTACGAAAAAGATAGATATTTTCTTATCGGCACCTACGGATAAAAAGGATATATCAAAATATCATAAGATTTCGGCCGATAAATTTTTCCCTGTATACATATACACCGACATACATAGTGGGCTCTAGACCCATGGGAAACTATAGACAGCCTCACACCAGCCAATCACTCCAGCACCTGAAGCTTGAGCTTGATCGACATGCAGCTTCATCGGAGCTTCCTGAGCTTGACCTGCGCGCCGTGCTCTGGCTGGAGCAAGACGACGGGGAACGGCGCGTGCGAGTAGGACGGGGAGAGCTCGAACGCGAAGCTCCCCAGGATCATGGCGAGCCCTATCTTGGCCTCCAACAGCGCGAAGGTCTGGCCGATGCAGGTCCGAGGTCCCCAGCCGAACGGGAAGAACGCCGGCGGCGCGTCCCCGCCGGACGACGCCCTGGCGATTCCCTCCGCGAACCTCTCCGGCCTGAACTCGTCGGCGTCCGCCCCCCACGCGTCCTTGTCGTGGTGGATGCTCAGCAGCGGCAGCATCAGCATCACGCCTGCCGGGTACCTGACGCCCCCGAGCTCCATGGGCTTGTACGTCCGCCGGTGCAACGCCGGCAGCGGCGCGTAGAGCCGCAGCACCTCGTACAGCACCATGGTCACCTGCAAATGCGATTGCGATTACGATCACATTTCACAAGACACTGAACGAATCAATCAATCATGATTCAGAGCCTGGTATGCAAAATGAAGGTGCTACGATTTTGAGTCGGCTGAGGCCGTCGTAGTCCGGCACTGTGCAGGCGCCGCCGAAGACGCGGAGCACCTCCTCCCTGGCACGGTCCTGCCACTCCTGGTGCATGGAGAGCACCAGCATGGTCCACGTGAGCAGCACCGACGTGGTCTCCATGCCGGCGAAGTAGAACAGCTTGCACTCCCCAATGACGTCGTCGGTCGACATGCCGCTGCCTCCGGAGCTCGTCGTCCCACCTTCGCCTTCGCCCCTGAACTGCTCCATGTTGGACTCCAGGAGAAGGCCGAGAAGGTCTTCGCTCGTCGCCTTTCCTGCTCTCAGCGAGCTCTCCCTCGTCGCGATCATCCCTCTCAGGATCCCTTCAATCTCCGCCGCGATCCGCTTCATCCGCCGGTTCACCCTTGTAGGCAGCATCCTATACGCACGAAAATTGCAATTTTGTAGTACATCAATTCCCCATGGCAATTAACTAGCAAATTAATCAAAATGGGGTTTGATCAGAGAGTGAGAGAGCTGACATGTAACCAGGGATGTGTATCTTGTTGGCGACGAGCATGGCGAGGTGCACCTGCTCCTCCTGGAGCTCGAAGATCCTCCTGCCTTGCAGGTAGCTGCTGCCGAAGGCGACGCGGGAGATGACGTCCCCGGTCAGCCTCTTCATCTCCGGCCAGACGTCCACCTCGCATGGCTCGCCGTCGGCCGCGACCACCAAACCCTCCCATCTGCTCACCATGTCGGCGCAGCACGATGCGAAGGCCGGCAGCATGCGCTGCAAGAGAATCGATCGGAAAGCTCGGATCGAATCCAATCAACTAGTAAACTACTGATGACGTGATGCATGATGAGAGATGAGACCTTGAGCTTGTCGAGATGGAAGGCGGGGTTGATGATCCTCCGGTGCTTGGCCCACTTGCTACCCTCGTGTGTGCTCACGCCGTAGTGCAGCAGCCGCGTGAGCTGCCCGAACCGAAGCCGACCTTCTCGAAGTGGCCAAACTTGTTGGACAGCACCTGGCGCACCAGCTCCGGCTCCGTGATGATCACCCTCGGCGTCGGCCCGAACCAGGTCACCGAGTTCTTGCCTGCGCGGTGCCCAGGTCACGCGTGGTCAGTCCACAGTGGATGAGTCATGATCATGACCGAGACATGACAGTGAAACAGACCGTTGGTTCGTTGCCGTGGTAAGACCGGCAAGCATACTAATCAAGGTAGTAGATCGACAGTTACAGTCAACGACGACTCAGCGCGACAAGAGCGAGAGAGAAGTTACCGTGCTCGTTCATGGCGTGGTGGACGAGCGGCATGGCCCTGGGCACGATGGCATGGCACCCCGGCGGCAGCGGCGGCCTGGACCTGGCCTCGCGGGCGAGCCGGTCGGACAGCGGCGCGTCGCCGGCCAGCGGGCGGTACGCCGTGCCACGGATGCCCTGCGCCCGCAGCGCCCGTTCCAGGCGCCGCGGCCTCAGCCACGCCCACTCCGCCGCGCGCGCGGCGCACCACGCGACGACGGCGAGGACCGCCGCGCACAGCGGCAGAAGCAGCTGCTGCGCCTTCCACGGGGAAGGAGCCTCGCCGAGCAATCCCAATAGCACGCTCGTCGCCATGGCTCGGCTAGCAGCCGCCACTGAAAAGTAAGACTTTGGACTGCTGTGCAGCGGAAGGGGAGATCGAACGCCAAGAGTTGCTCGCCATTGCCGTCGTCTTATAGTCTAAGGCAGGGGCAGAGGAGGGCGTGTAATCTTCTTGCTGGCGCGTGACGACGACTAATCTTTGCTCCGTGAGAACGACACGATAAAAGCAGAGCGGCATGAGCATGAGCATGAGTATGATCTGTCAGTCGCATTGCAGGTCGCACTGCTGAAAATTTTCAGAGCCTTTGCCGAATACAAACTGCTTTGCCGAGTATTAAAATTGGGCACTTGCAAAGAACTTCTTTGCCGAGTGCTAGACTCCCGGCAAAAACGCGGCATGCGGCATAGGCTGCCCCGTGTAATGGTGTTCGGTCACGTCCTTCTTTGCCGAGTGCCTATTGTTAGGCACTCGGCAAAGTTTTTTTTTTGAAAAATACTTTGCCGAGTGCCCCTGACACGGCACTCGGTAAAGATTTAAGCATCGTAGAGATGTCCTGGTTTGTAAGCATCGTACGTGACAATGTGCATCAAACCTTTTCAAATTTTTATCATAGCCTCCACATACGATATCACGACATCTCAACAAGTTTCATGATTGTCGGACTTACGTTTGCTTTTTATAGAATTTAAAAACACTTCGCACGTAAGTTCGCGGTCATGTTTCGTGAACAAGATGTCTGAAATTTCGCGTCCGTTCCTGAATACGGCCTCACACTACACTCACTAACATGACTATCATTTTTTGAATCATTAAATTTCATTATTCGTACCACGTGCAGTTCAAATTTATATTTTTCGAAAAAATTCAAGTAAACGAAATAAAGTAAATAAATATATAAAAAACCATAAAAAATCCCTAAATTCTAACGAGGAGTTCCTGGTGCTTTAAAAGGGCTGCACAAAAAATTTGGAGGCAAAAAACAAAAAAAAACTTTACCGAGCGCCGGGGCATGGCACTCGGCAAAGGGGGTATTTGCCGAGTGCCAAGAATAAGGCACTCGACAAAGAGGGTTCTGAATTATTTTTAGAAATTTCCTATTTGCTGAGTGCCTTTACAGGGGCACTCGGCAAAGACATTTAAAAAAAAATCTTTGCCGAGCGCCGTGTCAGGGCCACTCGACAAAGTATTTTCCAAAAAAAAAATCTTTGCCGAGTGCCAGATCTGGGATACTCGGCAAAGAATTTTTTTTAAAAAACCTTCTTTGACGAGTGCTAGGCCAGGTGACACTCGGCAAAGAGGCGGTTAAAAAAATTAAAAAACCCTTTGTCGAGTGTTAGATCGGGGGCACTCGGCAAAGGGGGGATTTAACCCCACCGGCTGGGCCGGCCCACACACCCCGCACACACGCACACACGCACGCGCCACCTCTTCGCGCCATACGCCACCACCACCATGCTGCCACTGTTTCTGCCCCGCGCGCCGCCCGGCATGCCTCGTGGACCACCCCCCCCGACGCCTTTGTGCCCGACCCGTTCAAACTCCGGTGACCCCAATTTCACGACCCGCGCCGCCCCCCTACCCCGCGCCCCGTTAGGTATGCCTTCTCTCTTGTTGTTGTCGTGGTAGTGATAGTTGTAGTAGTATTAGTTGTACTAGTAGTGCTAGTGGTAGTAGTAGTAGAACTAGTGGTAGTAGTAGTAGTAGAAGTAGTGGTGGTAGTAGTAGTAGAACTAGTGGTAGTAGTAGTAGCAATAGTGGTAGTAGTAGCAGAACTAGTGGTAGTAGTAGCAGCAATAATGGAAGTAGTAGTAGAAGTAGTGGTACTACTTGGATATATTCTTCTGCATGGATTGATATCCAAACTACATGGCTTCTCTTGAGACATATGTGCTTGTCGGCCATCGTGCCGTTGTTTTTACAGGTTTTGGAAACCTCACCATACAGGGGAGGTTCTGTCGAATTTTTTTAAAATGACAGTATTTTGTTCCATTTTTGTAGAGAAGAGCCCGTCGGAGCCGAGTCGGAGTTCCCGTCGCCGTGCTGGTCTACCTGCACCGCGTTGCCTCGCCACTACACTGACCCGCCACGGCCCCGCTAGCCTGACTCCGCCGCCACCCTAGGTATAACCCATCTTTTCGTATCATGGTCGTAGATCGCGTAACCCAGTTAGGCGTCTCCCGTTCGAAAGAGATACAATTGGAGGTATGCAAATCTTTGCATATCTATGACCGTATCTGTTTTGGATTGTCCACGTTTTTTGGACAGCCCTGGATGCGTAGATGGGTTAGTTTCCATGGTATGCTCCGGTCCGAGATAGAGTTTCGGCATCACCTCCATGTTGTTCTCCGGATACGCACTCTTCTTTGGCAGGACGTGTATCTGGAGAACAGCAGGGAGGTGCTGCCAAAATTATATCTCGGATAGGAGTAGAGCATGGAAACTAACCTCATCTACGCATCCGCGGGTGGGATTAGGACCTATCCTCACCTATTAGACAATAGGAACACCATGTAGATGAAATTGATGGTTACATTACTCGCTGATACATATGTTAGAGGATGGATGACCGTCAGTGGATGTACACGGGCTAGAGAAGTCAGAGTGATTACACCACGGAATGGATGAACAAGACCGATGCTTTCTTGAACAGTGCATTTGGCAAGGCTGCTAAAGGACATTGCCTAGTTTTGTGTCCCCACAACAAATGTGGAAACAGGAGAAGGGTAAACAAGGTAGAAATGGGTAAACATCTTGTGAATAATGGATTTACGCCGGACTACACCCGGTGGGTCCACCATGGTGAAGCCCATCGTATGAGAGAGGAGGTGGTGAGACCACGGGTGGAGGCTTTTGATGCTGATGCCGGGGTAGCAGACATGTTAGATGACTTTCACCAAGGACAGTTCGATGAGGGACATGAGAAGGAGACGGAGGCAGCCGCACAGGCGTTCTACGACATGATGGACTCGGCACAGAAACCCCTTCACGATCGGTCAACGGTGTCTCAACTGGATGCCATTGGACGCTTAATGGGGTTGAAGTCCGAGTTAAACTTGAGTCGTCCTGGCTTCGATAAGATGTTGGCCGTGATTGGCACCCTGCTTCCGGAGGGCCACATTCTGTCAAAGAGCATGTACAAGTCACATAAACTCATTCGTGCACTTAAGATGCCGTATGAGCAGATACATGCTTGTCTGAAGGGGTGTGTCCTATTTAGGAAAGAACACGAGCATGCAAAGTTCTATCCAAAGTGTAAATCCTCTAGGTACCTGGAGGTAGACTCTGATGATGGCCAGAAGAGGCAACTTACGATCCCCGTGAAAATTCTATGGTACCTTTCGTTCCTATCGAGGATCCAACGACTATACATGACCAAGGAATCCGCGAAACAGATGACATGGCACAAAAATGGCAAACGGTACAATCTTGACAAGATGGTGAAGCTTGGATCCGCTTTAATGACAAACATCATGACAAAGCAGATGAGGCTCGTAATGTACGTGTTGCACTGGCAACAGATGGGTTCAATCCTTATGGAATGATGGCTGCCCCATACACATGTTGGCCCGTCTTTGTTATCCCCCTTAATCTCCCCCCGGTGTCTCCTTTCAACGACATAACGTATTCTTATTGTTGATAATTCCTGGACACCCAAGGAGTAATATGGGTGTGTTCATGGAGCCCGTGTTTGATGAATTGGTCCGTGCTTGGGATGAAGGGGTATGGACATACGATCGAGCTACAAAGACAACCTTCAAAATGCACGTTTGGTACCACTACTCCCTGCATGACTTCCTGGCGTATGGGATATTCTGCACCTGGTGTGTTCACGGGAAGTTCCCATGCCCAATATGCAAGGAAGGTGTGAGGTTCATTTGGTTGCAGAAGGGTGGCAAGTATTCGTCGTTCGACAGACATCGTCAATTCCTACCTCTTGACCATCCATTCAGACAAGACATCAAGAACTTTACGAAAGGTGTCAAAGTGACAAACCCTGCATCATGAATGATGACTGGTGCCGAGGTTCATGCTCAGATAGATGCTCTCGTGCCCAATGAAGAAGGTGGTTTTGTGGGATATGGTGAGCAACATATGTGGACTCATCTTAGGCATGATGAGGCTCCCCTATTTTGATGACCTTCTTCTGCCACATAAGATTGATGTAATACACACTGAAAAGAATGTCGCCGAGGCACTTGGGCAACACTCATGGACACTAAAAAGTCTAAGGACAACCCTAAGGCTAGAGTGGACCTAGCAACATTGTGCGATAGACCAAATCAAGAGATGCAGCCTCCTAGTCGTGGCAAGACCTGGAGAAGGCCTAAGGCCGATTTCGTCTTGAAAAAGGACCAAAGGAGGGAAGTACTTGAATGGATCCAGACGCTAATGTTTCCTAATGGGTATGCAGCGAATCTAAAGAGGGGAGTGAACTTAGGCACTCTGCGAGTCAATGGGATGAAGAGTCATGACTACCACATATGGATTGAGCAGCTTCTTCCAGCGATGGTTCGAGGCTATGTCCCGGAGCATGTCTGGCAAGTGCTGGCAGAGTTGAGCTACTTATTCTGCCAGCTTTGTGCCAAGGAGCTCTCTCGGACCGTTATTGATGAGTTGGAAAAAGTGGCACCCGTGTTGCTCTGTAAGTTGGAGAAGATCTTTCCACCCGACTTCTTCTTGCCGATGCAGCATTTGATTGTGCACCTCCCGTATGAGGCACGGATGGGGGGGGGGGCGTGCAGGACCGTTGGTGCTATCCAATCGAGAGATATCTGAAGACTCTTCGCAAAAAATGTAGAAATAAAGCCAAAATTGAGGCTTCCATGGCAGAGGCATATATTCTAGAGGTGTCGAACTTCACAGAGAAATACTACACTGAGAACATTCCTAGCGTTTATAATCCACCCCCTTGTTACAATGCTAGCGAAAATGAATCGAACCTCAGCCTTTTCCAAGGGCAACTCGGAAGCGCAAGTGCATCGACCACTAAACAATTGAAAAATGAAGAGTGGCATAGTATCATGCTATATGT